ATCCCTGAGAACAACGTTCTGAAGACCCGTTATCACTACGGCGAGGACTACAATTCGAAATTGCAGAACCGACTACAGCTACTCTGGGAACAATGCAGGGAAAAGAACAAGAAGACTTCACCCCAGTATGGCAGGATCAATGAGAGACAATTGAAAGCCGGAGACAGCATTTTGGTGCAACGACAACAACCCGAGAACAAGCTGGCTCCGAAGCTCAAAGGCCCGTTCAAAGTGCTCGAGATCAAAGGAAAGAACGTTCATTTCGCTGATGACAGGAAGATCATTAGAACAGCGCACAAAGACGAAGTGAGAGGACTGCCTGGCCCGAAGGTTGAAGACGGAATTGAGAGACACCAATGTGGGCAAGGACCACGAAGATCAAAAAGAATTGCTGAGAAGAAGGGAGAGCGAATTTGGTTTTCTTTTGTTTTGTATGTTTCCTTCTCTTATCAGAGGTTAGAGGGGTAGAGTCATGTAGTTCTCTCTGTAATTGTATAATTTCTATCTAATAAACCTTGTTATTATTAACCGCTACCGATGGCAACACATTATACATTTCACCAGATGTTTCATTTGAAAAACGCTTGTAACATTCAATTTCTGAATCTGACCAGTAACCAGGTACTACTTCAGTACTCAACAGATATGCAAAGGAAATGATGGAACTGAGAAGAAAGAGAAGAAGACAGGCTTTCCGTCCAAAAGAAACACTAGTAGCGGTGTTAGTTCTGGAAAAGGTACAGTACTTTTAATTGGATGTATTTTATTTTAATATTTTCTGAATTTCTGAATTTCTGAATTTCTGAATTTCTGAATTTCTGAATTTCTGAATTTCTGAATTTCTGAATTTCTGAATTTCTGAATTTCTGAATTTCTGAATTTCTGAATTTCTGAATTTCTGAATTTCTGAATTTCTGAATTTCTGAATTTCTGAATTTCTGAATTTCTGAATTTCTGAATTTCTGAATTTCTGAATTTCTGAATTTCTGAATTTCTGAATTTCTGAATTTCTGAATTTCTGAATTTCTGAATTTCTGAATTTCTGAATTTCTGAATTTCTGAATTTCTGAATTTCTAAAATTCCAGAAAACTATAAAATTCGAAAATTCTGAAGGCTGTTTTTTCATGTTCACCATTTTTTATATCTTATCTCTTTTTCCCATACACACATTCATCATAATTAATCCATCATAATTCTTGCGCATCCTTCTTCTTCTTCTTTGTCTTTTTCCCCCCTTGCAACGTCTGCCTTCTTATTCACACAGCCTTGCCAGGAGAGAGAGAGAGAGAGAGAGAGAGAGAGAGAGAGACTAAGGTCATCCTCACCCACTTATTTTAAACGAACACCCCACACCCTTTGGTCCACCAAACGGCCACCCTCGCTTGGCAGGCAGTGACGTCTCTTTTTTCCTTCCTCTTTTTTTTCCTCTTTTGTTGAGTTCATTTCTATTACTCAGCATAAAAAAATGGACGACGAGAACGACGATTCCATGGAAACCCAACTCGACGGTGAGGACTTGGGCCAGTCCATCACTGATGAAGGTTTCTTGGCACAAGTCCAACAACGACAGCAAGAAACCAGCGGAATGAATCAGATTCTGCAGTTGGTGGGTTTTTATGCTTTCAATTATGACCAAAATTATCTCGGTTCTTGCGGAAGATATCAAAAAATGTTTAACTAACAAACTGTTTATCATGATTTTTTCTAAATCTTATCAGTTGATCATTATTTGATATCTTTCACAGGAGATAAGATAAATTGGGTCAAAGTTACATAATAGGCAAAATTTTCAAAAAATTTTAGGTGACCGACATGGACGTTCAGGAGCCAGGAACATCGTCTTCAAGAAATGTGATGGAGTTCAGTGGAATCCAACAGGAGTTGAACAATATCGAGAAGGAGCATAATGAAGTGGTGAGTGTCTTTCTATCTGCGTCTCTCTTTTTCCGGGGTCGTCTGTTGGGACGTGTGTATTTGTGTATGCGCACGTCTTTCTAGGAAGACCTATAATCTCAAGAAGAAATAGGGGTAGAAACGAGGGTCCAACTACAAAAACTAAAATTCACAGACTTCAAACTGATAACCTACACCTTTTTTTGATTATGTGGGATGTACTCAAAAAATTCTAATTTACCGTATTTTCTCTAATAGAAACCAATTCAAACTTTCAACTTTGAGATCAATTGTCTCGGCTCCTGGGAGAGATATTGAAAATCTGTCAACTGATAAAATGTTGTTGAATCTATGATAAACATTTTATTAGTTTAAGATTTTAAATATCTTTTGAAAGAACCGAGATAATTGAGCTTAAAGTGTCCAAAAATGCACGGGCTACTGTTTACGAGAACATGATTTTTCAAAAAAAAAAAAAGAGAGAAGACGAATTTTCAAATATAAATTGATTTCTAATAATTTTGTATACATAATTTCGTCTGTTCTATGTTCAGCGGCATAAATCCTGCAAAACATGACCAATGCCTTTTTGCAAAATACTTTCCTACTCTGCGTCTCTTTGTCCCTTTCCTGTGTGTCGCGAGCACGTCTTCATTTGCATAGGCATATCTCAAGAAGGAGAAGAAATACAAAAAAGTAGTAAAAACATAAAAATGATAAGTTTTATAAACTACAAATTAGTAGTTAACATCTTTCTGATAGCTTTTATGCGTCGTGAGGTATACGCGTTTGAAACAAGGATCAGCGAAAAAATTCTAAAGTTTTCTATGTGCACTTTGAGCTCAATTATATCGGTTACTGTAAGAGGTACCAAAATGTTTTCAACTAATAAAACGTTTGTCCTAATGTCACCATCATTTTATTATTTGACCGTTTTTTGATGTCTCTTATTGAAACCGAGATAATATAACTCAAAGTTACCATTAACTGCTTCAGTGCCTTCCAAAACGTTTGCTTTGACCCCCAATATCTTGGTTTCTACAAGAGATATAACAAATGTGCAAACTGATAAATTATTTATCATAATATCAGCAATATTTTATCAGTTGAAAGATTTTCGATAGCTTTCACAGGGAACGAGCTGAATCGGGTTAAAGTAAAAACATAGGGACCCTTTCTTAACGGTCCGACTAGAAATGACTGCGTAGCTACGGATTCCGCAGAAACCCAAAAATATTGTTTTTGTCTTCACAAATATCGCTTAAAACGTCATCAACACCTCAAATCGTAACCCTTATCAACCATCTAATTTCAGCTCCAAAAACTCGAAGAAGCCTCGCGCTCCGAATCTGTCCATCAAGTTCCCGCGGCACTCACCAACATTTTCGGAACCTGGAGAGTGCTTCCGAACCAAGAAGTCCACCCATCAACCACAATCACCCCATACGCCCCAGCCTTCATGTACAAATACATGTGGTACAAATTGGATGGATTCAACCTCCATTCGGTGCTCTTCACTGGGCACAATCATCAAAAAAGTGTGGAGACGATTGGTTTGGAGACAAACGGGGACATCGAAGGGACCAGGAAGATGATGTACGTCGATAAGGATCGATTGGTCACTAGCCACCGAAGGCAATCCGATGGGATGGAGGTGATGAGAGTGGAAGTGTTTGTGGAGGATGAGAAGCTGTACTACATCTTCCAAAAGGATCAATATCGGTACATCCGACAGTATGAGAGAGCTTTTCAAAGGACCTAATTTTAAGAACATTTGTATTTTGATACGGGTCCTTTGCTGTGATTTTTCGTGTACTTAAACGTGTATAACTATGTCCAAAAATGTCGTAATAAATTCTCTCTTCGAATCTGTTTGACCAGATGTCCGCTTATCCAACAATCAAAAACCACTTTATAAAGCTTTAAAGCTTATTTACCTGGAATCAGCATACTATAATCAAAATCTCTCAAACCAAAACTCATATTATATTTATCATCTTCTTTCTTCTTTTTTCATTTTTCTGAAAAACAAAAAAAATGGTTTTTGTTCTCAATATTACCAACGATGATGATCCGATAGTTTTTGATTGTGATGATTCCTATAATCCATGGATCGAAATCGCGAAATATGTTATTCAGTTTATGTATCTCGTTCCAGGAGGTAGGTCAAGTTTAGGGCAAAACAAAGGATAGATGTTCATTGGTTAACTGATAGTCCGTCAGTCGTCCGTTCATTGTCCGCCATCTGTCTGTCTGTTGTAAGGCATCCGTTCGGTCGGGAAATTTAGCCGACCGACCGACTGCAGACTCAGCCGACCGGGCTGACCGATCAGTGCTGTGTACGCAAACACTCTCTGGCGCTTAGACGCGCAAATGCACGAATTCGACCGGCTGTCAGTTTTCCCTTCTTCGCCCATTCTCCGCCCGTTCTTCGCCCGTTCTTCGCCCGTTCTTCGTCTATTTTTCGTCCGTTTCTCGTCCGTTTTCCATTCGTTTCTCATCCATTTTTCGTCCGTTTTTTGTCCGTCATCTATCTGTCTGTTGTAAGGCATCTATTTGGTCGGGAAACTAGTGGCTGGTCGATCGACCGCCGACCGAGCTGACCGATCGCTGCTGAGTACGCAATCACTCTCTGGCACCTAAACGCGGAAACTAATTCGGTCGGCCATTTCTCGTCCACTTTTCGTCCGTTCATTGTCCGTTTTTCATCTGTTTTTCGTCCGTTTTTCGTCCGTTTCTCGTCAGTTCTTCGTCCGGCTCAAAGATGGGTGAGAAATGGCAAAACGGATCTCAAAATGATTGAAAAATGACTTTGAAATGGCTTAAAATACGGAATGATTTCATTTGGATCCTCTTCTCTATCATTCATTGTCCTTACAGGGAATTTATGTTGAATATAATATTAACCAGTCGGTTTGCGCCCCTTCGGGGCTGAACCTCCTCGCCTCCGGTTAGAGTACCCGTAATCTTATAAAAACGTTTCTACACGTTTATTCTGGACCTCGAAATTGGAAATTGTGAAATTCAGTGTATTAGGAATTAGAGATTTTAAGATACCGTATTTCCTCTGATAGAAGTCCATGAACTTCTATTTTTCAACTTCTTTTTCAAGGTGGACTTTCATTAGAGGGTCGGCTTCTGTTTCTCAGCAATATATTTTCAAAAAAACAGAAATTTGACAATTCGGAAGTTAAGAATTCTGAAATTCATTGAAAAATTCGAAACTTTCATTCTGCACTTCTAAATTCCAAAATTCTGAATTTATGCGATTCTGAGACTCAAAATTTGAAATTCAGGGTTGGTTGAAGCTCATGGGCTTCTATGTATTAGAGGGCGGTCTTCTATTTTTTCGAAACACTTTGCGGGTGGGTTTCTATGTATTAGAGGAAGTACAGTATTCAAAATTTACAGAACTTCTGTTGGAAATTCCGAAGTTCGAAAACTTCAATTTTGAAGATCTTGTTAGAGGTTTTTTAAATTTTGAAGTTCTGAGTCTAACTCTGAAATTAAAACTGTAAATAGATAAAAACATCATTGCTACCTGACAGTGTCCAAGAAGTTTTTCTCGTTTTTAACGTTGGAATCGGCTTGCTCTATAGATGTCCATTGCTGAAAAGTGGAAAAGTCATTGTTTCGAAAATTAGCGTATTTTATACTTACATTCGTCAAGCATCTTTCCTGGAGCAAACGCGAGCCTCGAATCAATCATTTTCGGTCATTTTGCTCACGAAAAGGTTAAGTGATACCTATAACAAAACCTGTGTTTCGAAGAATAAATTTGTGTTACAAACCTTTTTTCCTTGTAGAATCGTCTTTCGAAAAAAAAATCATTGTCAAAAATCAACATATTTGCCAGGAAAAGTGAGAGAAAACGGCAAAAATAGGTTTAAAATGCAAATAAATGATGCAAAAATATGATGGAAGAGGTAAGAGAAAGCTAGTCCCTCACAACTCGGCCATCCGGAACGGATCCGCTCGCGAATGGGCATGGGAGCTATCTCTCGACCTCCAGCTGCATCCGTATCCGGTCCGGTCGCGAACTCCGTATCCTGTCCGATTGCGAATGCTGAAAAAACGGATCCGTTCGCGAACTCAGATTCGCGAAACTGCCCGTAACGGACCCGTTACGGATATAAAACCTAGTGGACACCGAAACGGATCCGTTCGCATTTGACCTGTGATATAATTGATAAAGGGTTTGTGATGTGTTAAAACCTTTTTTGGATTTTAATAATTACATTTTTCAGATCGGATGGTAAGGAAAGAGGAGAACTAGGATCAAAATGTCCATCAGAGAGACCAGAGGGTGAGAGTGGTCTTTGTGAAGTTCCTTCTGGATCTGGAGTGTCAAAGAGTATTTTAATTGTTGTACTTGTCTTAGTATTGAATTTTACGTGAATTAATAAAGCTTTTATTGAATAAGAAAAATCAGGATTTAAAATTGTCAAGAAAAGTTTCTATGTCAAAAAGGGTAGCTGGATTCGGTGAAGGCAACCAACTCAGCGAGAAAACTTCTCCCGTCTTAAGATCCTTGAACTCCACTGTGCCATCTTCTTTGAAGTATTGAAGACAGCCGGGACCATTCTCTAAATACCATTTCTTGGCTTCCTCATGCATTTTCTTACGCCATTCTCTCAAAAATGCAACTTTGGAGCATTCAGGATTGATTTTCTGAATTTCGGTTTCGTTGGTGGGAAAATAGTAAACGTATCGCAAACGACTTCGTCTGACTTCTCGACGAATTTCCATTTGGAAAGGGGTGGTTAACTGTAACCTTCGGGTTCTTTAAATGCTTTATATAATAGGTCACTCACTTTCTCTCCTCTATCAATGAGATTCATCAAAGATCGTTTCTCGGGTGCACTGGATTTCAAATCATGAGGACAAACATCAATTCTCTGCTCCAAATGTGCTTTGTCAGCCATTGAATGAAAATGTGGAGACCTTCCTTTTGATTCGAAAATGTTCAATTCGACGACTTGATTCCAAAGGGACACACATTGACATTCAGCCTTCAATTGTTGGATTTGTTCGTACTGAATTTCCAGACTAGATAAAGTTTTTTCGAAGGTTCCTTCCTGAAAAAAATTGTTATGAACATCCTCAAGATGTGCCGCTGGATCCTTTGCGAGTTTCATCAGCTCACTACTTGTCAACATCATTCGTTTATATCTCAATCGACACTTTATGTTGTTCTCCTCGATTTCAAGTTTCCCTCTCAACAGGGTCTCCATTATTCCAGCAGCTGTTTCCAGAATCTTATCTCTTTGATTCATTCCATCACATGGCCACTTGACATATTCATCATGACCCTTATGGTGCTCCAAAATACAGTCAGAGCAAAAGTTAAATCTTGAGTCTGGATCATCCATTTCTCGTTTCAAAAGTGGTCCATGGAATTTGGGAGCCTTCGTTTGCTTAGAGCACAGATGGCATTGAATTGGGTTCTGGAAAAGTGTAAACTTGAAGTTTTGTTTATTTTTCCTAAAAGACCAAACCTTCACACCCTCATAATCCAAGATATTATCCATGTCTTTATTACCGTACTCCTTCGAAGCACAATCATCACAGACTGCATAATCAGCAAAATACATCCCAATGTATGGTCGAGAGAACTTGCAAGTTAGACAGACTTTCAAATTGGTACAATCGGAACATTTTGCGCAATAACCAAGAGATTGAATCTGAAAGAGGAATTATGAAAACACTCGAATAGTAGGCAACCAAACCGTTAACTTTGAACCCATATTTCTCTGGTCCTGCACAAGAAAGCAAAAAGTTGTCAACAGATAAAATGCTCATCGTATTATCACAAACATTTTATCAGTTGGCAAAGTTTTGATATCTTGCACAGGAACCGAGATACATAATCTCAAAGTTCGCTCTCACCTCTTTCCCATAATCCGATGATCCGTAGGCTATAGAATTTTCCAGTGTTGCCTTCATACTGGTTAGAATTTCGTACCACTTCCTGATCACATCGAACACATTTTTCTCATATTCTTTCCGAAATCCCAGTGCTCCATAGTTGATATTCCTTCCAATAAATGCCTCTTTTCGGAAACAAATTGGACATTTCATTTTTGGATCAGAATCCACGCAGACTTCACAAACCGAATGACCGCAGGTTCCAGAGACAGCTCGACAATTCTCGTCGTCTGAAGTTTTTGGATTGGAAGATAAGAAACAGTAAGAAAGAATTGTCACCGAATAAATTAGATTTCGTTCCATCTCGACAAGCATGACAAATCAAGGACTCCAGTTTAACCATTTTTGTTTCAAGTTATCAGTTTCATGAGAGAAAAAAGTAAAAGAACAAAGGAAAGAAAAATGTGGTGGAAGGGAGACAAAGGGTGAGGGAAAGAGAAAGAGATATTGGAATGAGGAATTGTTTAAAAAATGTGGCATCGACACCATAACCATCATTTTATTTAGAAAAATTGTTTTAAAAATAAATTAAAGGCGCACCAGTCATTTGTTTGAAGGCGTGGCAAATACCATGCCCTTTGATCTCGATTATTTCGGTTCCTATGGGAGATATAAAAAATGTGACAACTGATAAAAGATTTGTGATATTATGATAAAAATGTTATTAGTTGACAGATTTTTGATACCTTTTAAAGGAAGCGAGATAATTGAGCTCAAGTATAAGACCGGATTTTAATAGAGCAAACACGGTAGGTTGGGAAGGTAAACAGGGATACAAAGCAAAACTGGAATAAGTTAGAAAAAAAGTCTGATGAGTCTTAATGACCAGTTTGCAGCCGTACTCCATCGAGAATATCTTCGACTACCAGTTCCAGATTGAGTGGAGATTTTTGCTGAAATTTTTTTCTCGATTTTCTTCACGAGACTCAAGTATTCCACTCACATCCTCCCCTTTCTCAATAATCTCCATCAGTTCTTTCTTCTCATTCTCACTGGACTCATAGTGCCACGGACATCCTTCTGTCAAATCTTTATTCTTTTTAACCAATGAATCAAAATGAGGACAATTCCCAAAAACGTCAACGGCATTCGAATCCACTATATTCTTCCAAACTTTCACACATGCACACGTTTCATTCAATAGATGGTAGTCGTTATATTGTAACTCCAAGCAAGATATTTCTTTAGATATTTCTTTAGTGTGCTCTCCTGAAATCATTATACCGTAATAGAAGCTCACCCTATCTTTGATCCCAATTATCTCGGTTAATTCGAAAGATATAAAAAATCTGCCAATTGGTAAAATATTGGTGATGTTATGATAATCAATTCTTCAGTTGACCACATTTCGATGTCTTTTGAAGAAACCGAGATATTTGAGTTGAAAGTGGTGAGCTTCTATTAGAGAAAAATATGTATTTTTCTCGCAGAGAATTCCTTCAAACTAACCAAGCCGGCCATAAAGTGCCTGAATTACTTTCTCAGCGCTCGCCTGCATTCGCATATATCTCAACTCGCACTTTGTCTTGTCATGTGGCACGTGCAGTTTTTTCTTGAGCAGTTCGGAAAGTATTGGGATCGACGTCTCATTTCTAATCACTGGTACATCAAAATAGAAAAATGATTCTGTTTGAGGGGAAATTTTGAAGGTTCTGTGCTCCTGATGATCATTTAAAACACAATCCGCGCAAAGTTTGAAACTATCCATGTCCAGGTGTTCCATGTTCCATAAAATGTTGGATGAATTAGGGTCTTTACAGTATTCGCATTCTTCGGAACCCTGACAGCCTTTAAATTAAATTTTTAATAATGGTATTGCTGTAATACCTGACTAAGGAGTTTAAGTTCACCATTGATGTATTTAAATGAAGTTGCACAGTGAACACATATGGCATATTTGGACAGACGGCGAGTCTCTATGAGTTTTTTGGAAAAACATGTTTCACACATTCTCAACAACTCGTTTGCACCGCATTCGGAACAAAATCCGGAACTTGAATTCTGAAATGCTCGATTTTCCACTATCTCTCTATCTCTTTCTCTCTTTCTCTCTCTCTCTCTCTCTCTCTCTCTCTCTCTCTCTCCAGACACCCCGCTCACCGAGCTGTGCGTCGATTTCCGAATAATGTCAAACACATTTTTCTCATAGTTCTCGATTATGTCTGATGAACTAAAATTGATGGTTCCATTTTCAAATGCACCGTTTTTCTGGCACTTTGGACACTTTTGGTGGGGGTTTGATTTTGCGCAGGTTAAGCATATCGAATGACCACAGGAGCCTACAAATGCTCGCCGCGAATCGTTATCTGTAAAAGTTTATACGGATATAGAATCCTGATAATTGGAGCTAACCAAACAGTGTGATTTTATTATTGTCCGTTTTGCATGAATAGCAAATTAGCGATTCCAGATGGAGCATTTTTGGGTAAAAAATTAAACAAACGGAAGAGAAGGTTTAGGCTGAGGAAGGGGAAATATTGCGAAATTCGTATAGGAAGAGTGAAGAGAAAGAGACAACGACGGATGGAAAAGAAAATCAACATCAACAAGAAGAGAACGACTTGACTGTGAACAACAAAAAAGAATCGTAGTTATTTTAACTTCAATTATCTCGGTTCCTTATATTTCAAACCGATTTTATATGGTTTCAAACCGTTTACTTAGGTACCATATATCTCATTTTTGATAAAGGACTTGAAACAAATAGTGTCAACTGATGAAAAATAGATGATATTATAGTAAACAATTTATCAGTTGTCAAGCTTTTGATATCTTTCAGACGAATCGAACTAATTTTGTTGTCGACAAACAATATTGACGGCTTGAGAGGGCTTCTTTTTCAGCTTTTTCACCTTCATCGTTTATCACAACAATAGTTTCCAATGGTTCGGATGCCTGCCAATGAACTCTTGTGACGCCTTGTAAAGAGAGCAAAAAAGGTTTCTACTAATAAGGCAAATAATTCGAAGGGTGAAAAAACCGATTGAGTGGTAAAAAATAACTGATAATATCGAATTTTGTTCCCCCGCTTTTGTGTTTTTACGCCTAAATCGCTGTGTACTCTTTGCACCGCCGAATCGTTGCGCTTACGAATTACTGTAAACACTCTAATAGCATGACTTCCTAAAATTTGTACTTTGAGGCAAATTATCTCGGCTCTTTCAAAAAATGAGACAAAATTGTCAACGAATCAATTAATCATCATATTATCAGAAATATTTTATCAATTGACACAATTTTTATATTTGTCATAGGAACCGAGATAATCAATTTTTAGTTGGGAGCCCATTTTCATACACATCGCTTCGAAATGCGGGGGAGATCGATGCACATTGAGAAGATTCAATCTTTTGACATCTCTATAGACTTCCACACACTCACAAGTTTCTTCCAGCTGTTCAAGTTGATTGTACTGGTCTTCTAGGCAATCAATTATGCGTTTGACAAGATGTTCATGAAGAATAGGCGGTCCGATTATTTTAGATTCTGAATAAAGAACGTTTGCCAATGTTAAAACATGTATGAATGCACCTGGAGAGTTCTTTTTGGTATGCAATGAATAATAAAAATCTGTCCAATAAATAGCACATATCCCGTTGTGATTTAAGGTTATGGAATTCCATAAAATATTTTTTTCAATAAAAAATTGAACTTTTTAAAAAAATATTATATTAGTTTTCACTCTTGGAAGAATTTTCTTCTTTTTCTAGGACACTGGTGGCATGAAAACTGAAATTTCTCTTCGATTTTTCTTTGTTGCGTTCTCGCAGAGACCCCGCACATATGACACAAACACTTCTCACAGTGTCTATGTCTCTCACTATTTCTCTCTCGTTTGAGTGAGTATCCCTAGGTTTAGCAATTAAAAAACTGAGAAATTCTAAGACAGAAATGATCCATTTGGAAATCTGTGACACATGTGAACCCATTTCTATTCAAAGGAACTTGTTTGGTGAGTGATTACAAAGAAAGAATGGTACCTTAAATATAACATTTTTGATTGAAACAAAAAATAAATTCTAGAGGTGGAAAAAACTTCAAAATGATATAAAACTTTTGAGAATTCCGGTATTTTCTACTTTCAAACGATATGTAGGTGATCCTTTTAACACTACCTAGGGTGTAACTTTGAGCCAATTTATGTCGGTTCCTGTAAAAGATATCAAAAATCAGTTCACTAAAAAAAATGTTAGTGATAATATGATAAACATTTTATCAGTTGACCACTTTTTATCTTTTATAGGAAGCAAGATATATGGGGCTAAAGCTACTTTATTTTCACAGCATTGTTTATTGTAACAAGCTGCCAACTTTGAGACGAGATATGCTCGGTCCAAATTGCTGATACTGTTGCATTTTCAGACAATAAAGGCCGTCGAGCATGTGGCCCAGTGGCACAATGGAGATCAAGGATCTTAAGACGGGAGAAGTTTTCTCGCGAAACTTGTTGCCTCCAATAAATCCAGCTACCTTTCGTGAACCGAATACTTTACGAAATTCTAAACTCTGAAGTTTCTTGTTCAATAAAACTTTTTTAACTCGGGCTTACAACAAACACAAGTACAATTACCTATTACAATGATATGTGACCCTTCAAATCCTGAAAAAAACTTCCATTTCCCAGCCTGACATGTTGGTCCTAGTGCTCCGGTTTCCTCAATCTTCGCCGTAAACGCTCTAATAAGTGCCCACACTATATGTACAATTTGAGCTCAATTATCTCGGTTCATATGAGAGGTATCAAAAATCTGTCAACTGATAAAATATTGCTGATATTATGATAAACAATTTCTTAGTTGACAGAGTTTTGCTATCTTCTGAGTGAATCGAAATAATTGAGCTCACAGTTTTTGATGGCAAAAAACAAAAATGTCTTCTTCTTTTCGATTTTTCGTTGTTGCATTCTCGCGGAGACCCCGCACACATGACACAACCACACACACTCAACAGATACGTTTCTCATTTTTCTCCTTATGTCTATGTCTCTCACTCTCTCTTGTTTGAGCGAGTATACCTAGGCTTAGCAAGGAAAAACTGCTAAATTTGAAAAAAGAAAAAATGATCCATTTAGAATCCCTAATTTGTTATTCCTGTCAGACCAGTCATAATCAAAGGAACTTGTTTGGTGAGTGATAAAAGGTCAAGAAACGGTGGCATAGCTTTTTCAAAATTCAAGTTGATTTACTGAAAGAACACAAGTTCTACAAAATGATTTGAAACTTTTGAAATTTCTGGTATTTTCTGTTTTCCACTTGTTAATAATCGATGGAAAGGGCTCCCTTTTTAGCACCACCTAGGGTGTAACTTTGTGCCAATTTATCTCGGTTCCCGTGAGAGATATCCAAATTCTGTTAACTGATAAGCTATTAGTGATAATATAATAAGCATTTTTCAAACAGATGGCTGGTGTATATATATATAAACTAAAGCCCAGAAGGTTTAAACCCAGATGAGCGTAAACCGACAACAAATGGCAACCATAATTTCGCAACTTTGGCCAAATGTATCTCGGTTCTCGTGAAAGATATCTAGAAATTTTTAACAGCAGAAATGTTTGCCTTGATATCAGAAACATTTCATCAGTTGACAATGTTTTAATATCTCAAACTTGAAACAAGATAATTAGGCTCAAAAGAAGATCTTTTTAAGGAGTTTCTCAAATTTCAAAAGTAAAAATCCAAGTTTATTTAAACGTGTCGAAACAAAAATTAAAAACGAAACTCCGTGGCAAAAAATGCTTTGAGAGCAATTTAAAATTCTAAAAAAAAACGACTACGTGAATTGGCTTAGAAACCATTGACCTCTAGGAAAATAATATAAAAGAAGAAGGAAATGAAAGAAAGAATCAGTTCTCACCTTCTCTGGGCTTCAGAGAAGGTGACCCGGGGATCCTGGGTCCTAGGTCCTAGGTACTGGCTCTTGGATCCGGGTTACCTGGATCCGGGTGACCTGGATCCGGGTGACCTGAATCCGGGTGACCCTGATCGTGTTACCCGGATCCGGGTGGCCCTGACCGGGTAACCTGCATCCGGGTGACCTGGGTCCGGGTGACCTGGGTCCGGATGACCTGGATCCGGGTGACCTGGGTCCGGGTGACTCTGACCGAGAGACATGGATCCGGGTGACCCTGACCGGGTGACCTGGATCCGGGTGGCCCTGACCGGGTAACCTGGATCCGGGTGACCTGGATCCGGGTGACCTGGATCCGGGAGACCTGGATCCGGGTGACCTGTATCCGGGTGCTCTGGATCCGGGTTACCTGGGACCGGGTGCCCTGGATCCGAGTGACATGGGTCCGGGTGACCTAGACCTGGGTCCAGGTGACCCAGATCCGGGTGACCCAGATCCGGGTGATCTGGATCCGGGTGACCTAGACCCGGGTGACCTAGATCCGGGGTCCGGGGGACCTGGGCTTTTTGATATCTTTCATAGAAATAGGAAAAAGATATACTCGCTGAAAGTTGACTTTGTTTGATTTTCAGACGATAAAGACCGTCGAGCAATAGTGGGAACATGTGGCCACTCAATTTGTCTCACTTGCTCAATATCCGATGAAAATCGAGACTGTCCAATTTGCACAAAACCCAATGCATTTATCCATAGAACCGTTAACTATGAAGCAATGACTCAGATGGAGTATTATAGGACAAATGCGTTCACAACGTTCAGAAAGTGGTGGGAGACATTGGTGAGTCTTTGTGCCCTGTGGAGCGCATTTACCGACGCAATTTGAGCTGAACTATCTCAGTTCCTTCAGAAGATATCAAAATCTTGTTAACTGATAAAATATTAATCATAATATCAGCCATATTTTATCAGTTGACCACTTTTTTATATCTGTTACAGGAACCGAGAAAAATTTGCTCAAAGTTGATATACCGAAAAGCTCTAATAGAATTTTACCCAAACTTTGAGCTCAATTATCTCGGTTCTTATGATAGATATCAAAAAGCTGTCAACTGATAAAATGTTGGCCATATCATGATAAATATCAGCCATATTTTATCAGTTGACAACTTTTTTATATCTTGCATAGGAACCGAGATAATGAGCTTCTAATAAAGAAAAGACGGTATCTTCGAATTCCAGGCAACCGGAGTCGGCGTATGCTCCACGTGTGCTTCCATTGAGAACTTGAGAATTTGCCTGACTTGTCAGAAGGCTCAGAATCTCAAGGACCAAAATCTCTCAAAAGATGTCATGTGTCCTCCATGTGCTGATAATATGATGAGACGAACAGCAGGAGATGGATATGTTCATCAGTGTGATTCAACACCAGTTTTGCAATTGATAAGGGTAATTATCACTTTCTCACGATCCCTCGATTTCCAGAATTCTTTCAGAACCCCTCACATTGTTATAAATGCGGAGAGGACACTGACGATCCTCGAATCTGTGAGAAGTGCTTCCATGTTAGGACAATGAATGTCAATGTAGACACTTTTTCGGTTTGTGCGGATTGTATTCTGGAGCATCATGGTGGACACCAAACCACCAAGGCCGTGGAAGAGTATGGTATTAGACATTGTACAGTGGATATCATTAATAAGCTGTTGTTAATCAAATTGGATTGCTTGACGGATAAAAAATGCAAGTTAAGAAAGATGCGGTTAGATCTGATAGGCAGGGATGCTATTTATTGGGCAAGCCTTCATTATCCATTGTATACCGAAGAGAATTGTCCAGGTACTTTATACCACAAATTGGAAAACTGGCAAATGCGCTCTATTCAGAACCCAAGCTTATCGGACGGCCTATTATCAAGGAAAAGGTGATCGAACGCATAATTGATTGCCTAGAAGACCAATATAACCAACTAGAGGAGCTGAAAGAGATTTGTGGTTGTGTGGAAGTTTATAGAGATGTGGAAAGGCTGAATTTATTTGATTGGCATGAATGTTGTCCACATTTAAGAGCTATGACTATGAAACCGGACACTGATGTAAAAATTGATAGGTGTCCGTTTGACTTGGAGTCTAGCCAAGAGTGGAGGAGACAACTTTTGGAAATTATTGAACGGAATGAAGTGGTAGGTTGTAGAAGCCTACCCTTCAGTTCGAGCTTAATTATCTCGGTTCCCACAAGAGATATTAAAAATCTCTCAACTGATAAAACGTTCAGTATGTTATCAGCAATATTTTATCAATTGACAGATTTTTGATATCTCTCGTAGGAACCGAGATAATTGAGCTCAAACTTGACAGTGTGGCTCCAAAAGACTGTCTCGAAATCGTCAACTTCAAGCTCAATCTAGGTTCCTCTGAAAGATATCAAAAATCTGTCAACTGATAAAAAGTTTATCATCTTATCAGCAACATTTAATCAGTTGACAAATTTTTGATTTCTCTCACAGGAACCGAGATAATTGACTCTTATTAGAGCAGCAGGAGTAATTAGGGTTAATTTTCAGGCCACCGAACCGTTGGAAAGTATTTATGTGATGCGGGAGGCGAATTAAACAAAATATGGATAATTCGAAACTGGTTTTTTGAAAATAAATTGAATGTGTATACTTTTGGTTGAATTTGGAGTACAGAAAATAGTCTCAAAATACCGTAAACCCTCTAATAGAACGACACCCAGCCTCTTCAACTTTGAGGTCATATATCTCGGTTCCTTCAGAAGATATCAAAATCTTGTTAACTGATAAAATATTGCTGATATCATAATAAACAATTTGTTAGTTTATCACTTTTTGATATCTGTTATAGAAACTGAGATTTATGCCCTCAAAGCGGAAAGTTAGGGGTGGCGTTCTATTAGAGTGTTTATGGTATATTTTCTGGTCTATTTTTTCGATTTTTCGACGAATTTCATTTTAAAAAAATGCATGAAAACAATAAAAATCATTGAAAAGTCGATAAAATTCATCGAAGAATCCGAAAATTAGGCCAAAAAAGTTATGATTTTTTTTCGATTTTCCAGAATGGTAATTTTTATAGATTTCCAGGCATTTAATTATGATTTTTATCGATTTTTAGCCATTTTTAAAGCTTAAAACCGGCCAAATTGGCTGAAAACTGACGACCGCCGCGCCGACACGCGACGCGCTCAAACTTGGCTCGTGCCAAATTTCAAATTGAAGTTCTTCCACGATGCCTTGTTCCGATAAAATGACTCAAACAAAAAACTACCAATTTATTAACAAAACTATAAATTACAAAAAGTACTAAATACAAAAATAAATCCCTAATTCTCCTCCGGAATCGGTTTCAGCTTGATCTCCTCCTCCTGAATGGCTCGATTCGAGAGTTTTGGCAAATCTCGGCAAATTATTGAAATCCGTCGGTCCCGGGGCACTTTTTGTCCCTGCCATACACTTTCCGTCTCGTCGAGCACTTCGTGGGTGAAGTCGTAGCGGCCGGGACCGCTGGAAACGGAAAATATTGATTTTTTTCTAGAATTTTCGATTAGTTATCGTTCAATTAGACGTAATTACAAGATAATTAGTGAAACTACGGAGATAATCATTTGAAATTTTGAAAAAAAAAGTCGGAAAATTCGAAAAAATTTTCGGAACAAATTTTTCAAAAAATTTATTTTTTCGATTTTTCGAAATTTGACTATTTTCTTCTAATTACATTTTAATTCCTCACCCCAATCGATACAAACTCCTTCTTGGCATCAGCAGGTCCACCACCAGCTCGTCCTTCTGGTCCTTATGCCGGAGCCGCATGATGGCGTCGGAGAGCAAGGAGACACCGGTGATGACGTCGCCGCAGTACTGGAATATTGATTTTATCGATTTTTCAGCAAATAAAAATTTTTTTGAAAATTGAAAATTTAAAAAAAAAATTTTTTTTCGAAAATTTTTAAAAATTCAAACTTTTTCGATTTCTCACCCGAATCGAGTCAATGTGCGGTTTGATGACACCGTCTTTGTGCAAATCCAGAATGTGCACGTACGTCAAGTGCTCCGTATTGGCTCCGAACGATTCGGAGCGAATTCTGGAGATGACGTCGAGATTCTCGTCTCGCCATTTCCGTTGCTCACGCTCACGGTACAGGTGAATCGCCTGGAAATTTTTAGAAGACGTCAATTTAGAATTTTTTTCGAAAAAATTTGAAAAATCCAAAAAATTTTTTTTGAAAATTTTGAAAAATTCGAAAAAACTTTTTTTCAAATTTTTCAGAAGACGTCACGTCTTCTAAATTTCCCTTCACATCATCCTGACGTCAGAATTCGAAACTTTTTGAAAAAAAAAATTTTTTTGAAGTTTTTTTTCCAAATTTTTCAGATGACGTGAGGTCTTCTGAATCCTCACATCATCCCAATGACTCTTCTCGTATCGAAGCCGTTTCATATGCGGTTCCACCTCGGTTAGCAGCGATTTTTCCTCGGCTTCAGTGATGAAGTCTCTGAATTTTTGATATTTGGCTAATTTTCAGTTCTTTAGACTAATTTTAGGCTTTAAAATCGAGAAGCAACTATTTTCAGCACGATTTGACCTCCAAAATGCTGAAAATCCTACTTAAAAAAGACTAAAAAACATTTTTCCAGCGGCGGGAGTCGAACCCACGACTTCAACCCAGTAGGCAGCCGCTTTGCCGGCTGCGCCAAATCTATCAAACTAAGGAAAGCTCACTTTTTCACATAACAAGCCTGCACGATTTCCTCCGCGAGCGCCGCCGGCCACTTTTGAATATTGTGGAACAGAATTAGGCTTTTTTGAAGCGCCCGTCGCGAAATTTGCATTTCTTCTAGAAAAATCGATATTGGCGGTTCTGAAATTTCTCTGAAAATCTATCTATGGCAATAACCGATGATTTTAAACCTAAAAAATACAAAATCACAGTGATTTTATTGTCATTTTTAGGGGAAAATTATGCATGCAATCACTAAAAAATAGACATTTTGAGCATTTTTGGGGGCATTTTTCGGGGGGAAAAAAAAGAGATTTTTTAGTATTTACAATCGATTTTTCAGGGGGGGGGGCGGACCAGTCACAGAAAAAATTACATTTTTAGAGAAAAAAAAATAAATGTACAAGAATTGGAAAAGGTACGGGGGGTCAGAAAAACATTTGAGATTTTTAGCTGGGAAAAAATTGACAAAATGATAAAAAAGAGATAAAAAAGAGAAATCTATTGGATCTTCTTCGGTGGTGCTTCCAGCGCTTCGGCCAACTTCTTCATGTCGGAAAGCGAGCGTTTCAGCTCTTCACGGAACTCGCGGGAGCTCTGAAAATTGAGAAAAATACGATTTTCCAACATTAAAAATATTTTTTAAAGCAGTAGATTTTTAATAGAACCGTTTTTAAAGCCAAAAAAGGCAGAAAAAAAAATCTAAAAATCGCCAAAAAACGCGAAAAATTGAGATGGAAGAGAAAATTCCAAAACTCGGCCATGAGCGAAAAAGTTCGGCCAGGTGAATTTTCAGCGATTTTATATTCTTTTGTAAACAATTTTAGGTTATAAAACGTGAAAAATCAGTTTTAGATGAATTTTGAAGGCGAAAATCGCTAAAATTGAGTTGGAAGAGGAAATCCCAAAACTCGGCCACGAGCGAAAAAGTTCGGCCAGGTGGATTTTAAGCGATTTTCGACAGTTTTCAGAGCGTGTTAGTTCGACTTTTAGCGATTTTCGATGTATTCGAAGGTCCAAAACGGGAAAAAGCAATTTTTTCGACAGATTTTTAGCGATTTTTGACAATTTTTGAGAGTTCTGGGACGAATTTCAGGTTTCCAGATAGATTTTTTAGATTTTTCAGATTTTCCAAAACAAAACACTTACCGTGTTATCCGCTGATCGCTTACTGGAGATATGGAACGACAGCGTGTTTTCACCAGCGACAATATACGACACACCGTATCCTCTATCGGCTACAGGTCCGAATCCACCTCCAGCGGTGATCAATCTCAAACGAACGTCATTTGAAAGCCCCTTGGCATCGGCTTCACACTGATTCATCGGGGTTTGGGACGTCGAGAGCAGATAGGTCGGCGGGAAAATGTTGTCGAAGAATGGAGACTCCTCCTCGAGGTATCTCTTGATGACGTACAGAGCGAAGAGGTGACGATCGACTCCCTGGCCACACATGGCGTCACGATAGAGCTCTTGATGCTTGTCACAGGCTTTGCGGAGGAGTTGAAGACGTTCCTGGGGGGTCTTGGAGGCGTCGAGCATGGAGCGAACGAAGTCGGAGGATTGGACGGTGCAGGAGCGAACGGTTTCAGTACGTCCTTCACGGAAGAGGCGGGTCATCGAGGCTTCGTAGGTTAGCGAGAATTTGTTTTGGTTCTGAAAAAATTAAAAGGGTGAGTTTGGAGAACTGAGGCGTAAGGGTTTTATTTGGTCGGTCGAAAGTCGGCGGCCGGTCTGCGGTCGCCGATTTCGACCAACCGAAATCGAAGCCATATTGAGGTGGATTTTTTTTTTGAAATTCGAATTTTTTTAGATTCTTAAGATTCTCAAGATTTTCTGGAATTCTCGAATTTTGAAATTTTCTGCAATTCTCAGGATTTTCCGGATTTTTTCGATGTTTCAGATTTTTTGAATTTTCAGGATATTTTTCAGAAATGGTCTAGGACTGGGTTCAATGGTCCGAAAATGACTAAAAATAGTCGAAAAATGGCGCGGACGGTCCATTTTCGACGAGAAATAGTCCGAAATCAGCTCGAATGGTCTAAAAAAGTGACTAAAATGCCTCGTATAGTCTAAAAATGAATAAAAACGGTCCAAATGGACCAAAAGTGGTCCGCATGGTATGAATGGTCTAAAAACAGCTAAAAAAAGGCTAAAAATACACAAAAATGGTCCAAAATTGGTCCGAACAATCCGAAATGAATAAAAATGGTCTAAAAATGCTCAAGAATAATACAAATAGCCAGAACCAGACAAGAAATCGCCGAAAAATGTCGTTAAAGTAGCCCAACTGGTCCAAAACTGGTCTTAAAATCAGCTTTAAAACTAAAATGGTATAAAAAGGCCCATAATGGCCATTTTCAGAAAAATAAACATCCTACAAACCAACCTTAAAATAAGTATACTGCAACGTCATCTGAAGGAACGCATCCGGCGACACCTTCAACTTCTTGGCAAATCCTTTACCGTAATCCGTCCAAACCAACAGCGACATCTCAACATCAGCAATCAACGCGTTCGCCACCTCCATCGATTTTCGAATCTGTTCTAGAGCAGGGCTGGGAATGTCCCATTTGAGTCTTTCCGGGGTCAGTTTCTCCTTGGCCTCTCCTTTGCACCGTCCATCAGCGTCATATCCAATGAATACAATATCCTGAAGCAAGGACCATTCCGTAAAGTGTGCCATCACCGCAGCGTCGCCCCAAGAGTGTTCCGTATTGATTCCAACATGTCCATTCTTTGAAATAATCAGGTTGAATGACTTATCAAACCAACGATCGTGAGCCTTTCCATGGAGCAAGTTATGCGCCCAGTGGTCCAACTTTGATGGATCTTCCGGGTCGTAATGGGTCTCCTCGTCGTCCAGAATCACCACGAAGGCGGCTCGCTCAATATCGTTAAGAGACGTCTTGTTAACTCCACTTCTAAAGTGTGCCCTGCGAGTCTTGGCCCAATCCGCACGCTCTCCAGCTGTCAACGAAGCCAAATGCATTTCTCCTTCTGATGGCTCATAGGAATGCGCTAGAATCGTATCATATTGATGTTGGAGTTCACAAGCCTCCAGAAGACGTTTTCCATTGTGAACGATGAGTTTGAACCAGACACCTCTACAGTAGACAGCCACGTGCTTGGCATCATCCCAATGAAGAAGACGATCCACTTTTTCTCCAGGCACCCGACACGTATTGAATAGCCGCTCGTATTGCATCGTACAGAATGGAACCTTAGTCCTTGGAGAGATGGAAAACGGCGAGACCTCTTGACGATCAACCATTCTCCGGAATTGAAGAGAGGTGTACGTCAGATTGGCAGCTCTCGACGCCTGATTCGTTGTTGGATGCTCGTTGAGGGTGTCGAATCCGTAGTAGTTGGAATTGATCATAATTGGCGATCGCTGACGCATGTAGACGAACTCCTCCCACCAATCGGTGACGTAGTTCGAGGAGAACCACGACTTCAGGGTAAGATAGCGTTGGAGACGTCGTCCGACTCCCTTTCGGAAGCGTTCCGAGAGGAATTCCAGCTCTTGGTACTCTTCGTCGTTGAGGATCGGCTTCATGGAGAGGAGGTGCTGAAAAATGAGGGGATTAGGGTCTGAAATCGTCTAAAAACGTGCTGAATTGGTATCATTCAGGTCATGACCTAGTTTTTTCTAGGTCACGACTCAGGTTTTCTAGGTCATGATCTAGATTTTTCTGATTAGATTTTTTGAATGACCTGAATGACCCAAAAATAGACCTGCACCAAATCGACATCAGATGGTCCAGAATCCTTTAAATCCCTATTTCACTGCAATGGCGAGACATGTAACGGTCTAAACGACTCAAGTCGGTCTAGAATCATCTAGAATGTGATTTGAAGGTTTTCCGACAATCCAGAAGCGCTCAAATCGACCTAGAACATCCCAGAAACCCCAATAATCCTCACCTTTCTAACAGTGTCATCCAATTTCGGCAGTGGAAGACGTGGCAGGGCTCCTTGAAACGAGTGAAGCATTGGTCCGGCTTTGGAGATGATATGAAGCACGCCCAACCAGAGTTTCGTGGCTTTTGACACTGGTTTTCCAGGCGACTCGTACATCCAACCCTTGTATTCCAGAAGGGTCTTGATCGAGAGACGGAGAAGTTGAACGAAGATGAGCCAGAGGAGAGCGCCAGCGACGGCGATAGAGATGCTTTGGCCCAGGTAGCCGTCTCTGGAAGGTAACGTTAATATTGACTATGCTGTGAGCTGGCTTTGTAGAAGGCGTTAAAGTTCCTACGCCTTCTAGAAGACCTATTTAGCCTACTAGAAGCTTTTCCTATGCACTTTGAGCTCAATTATCTCGGTTCCTATGAGAGCTACAAGAAATCTGTCAACTGATAAAATGTTGGTGATAATTTGATAAATATTTTATCAGTTGAAACTTGTCGCATATCTCTCATAGTAACCGAGATATTTGAGCTCAAAGTGGACGTAAAGAGGATGGATGTACATTCGAAGCGTCTAGAAAACTCACCCAAAGACATAATGCACAATATAATTCTGGATAAACGGAAATATTCCAAAACTCAGGTCATGCTTGATGACCGAGAACACTGCCACAGCTCCTACGACCAATCCAAGGGTCCAGGAGTTCGCCGGGAACATTCCGTTCATGAAATCGTTCCTGAATCGGCCAGTACGTCTTTTATAAGACCTGGAGATTCCATGCCAAATGTCTCGGAGCAGCTCCTGGTCGTAGCTCACGGAGACGCCGTCGTGAGTGACTGAAAAATTGGATTATAAGGATATTGGTTTGAAAAAGGGCCAAAAAAAGCAATTTTCCGGTCATTTTGGCCTTTTCTGGCCGCAAAAACTCACCGGCAAAGGAGAGAGCTGCAGCACTGCGTGCCTCAGCCATGGCTCTTTTTCAATCCCTTCTTTTCCAGCGAAAATTTGAAATTTTCCTTATCGATTAGTGATGATGGCACCAGTTGTTAGTGATGAAGATCGCGTCCCGTATTTTAATGACCCTGAAAATTGGAGAAATGTTGATTAGGAGGGTAATTAAGAGGTAATTGACGAGAAAAGTGAGACGAAAAAAGGAGCAGAGTAAAATCGCTAGCTGGAACATTCTAGAAGCATTTTGGAGCATCGAGAGCCTGTTACAGTAGTCTAGGACGGCTCCGAATAGCTACAGAAGCTTTGAACTCTTAGAAAAGCGTCTAGAACCTTCTAGAACCTTCGACACACTCTAAAAAGCTTCTAGAACTTTCTGGAATGTTCAGAATGGTTAAAACTGGCGATGCCTGTCAGAAGCTGTCTAGGCGCTTCTGGAGCCTTCTAGAACCTCTGGACCCACCAAAAAGGACTTCTGGAATCACTCCGGAAGCTTCTGGAACCTTCAGAATCTAACAGAGAGCATTCTGAAGCATTTCTAAGGCCCTAGAACCATAAAAAATCTCCTTCTGGACCCATTTTGAACGTCCAGAGTGCCCAAAACCCCTGTCAGCAGCTGTCTAGGCACTTCTGGAACATTCTAGATCGGTCCAGAGCTATTAAAGTGCTTGGAAATCTTCTGGAACCGGCTGGAACCGCCTAGAACCCTATATGACCTCTTGGGACTTTCTAGAACCCGTCTCGACTCACTGGGCGCCTTTGGGATCGTCTAAAACTCTCTGGAACCCTTTAGAAACATCTAGAACCCTCCACGACCCTCTACGTTCCTCTAGAACCGTCTAGAACCTTCTAAAACCCACTGGGACCCACAGGAACCCTCTGGACGCTTCGAGAAAGCTCTAGACCCGCCTAGAATCGTCTGGATTCTTTCAGAAACCTCTCCGACCCACTGGACCCCTTTGGAACCCAATGGAAACGCCTAGAAATCGCTAAAATCGCTGATAATACCTTCAAAAACTGGCGAACTTCTCTTTTCGCCTAAAACCTTGTTTATCAGGAATCTGATAACCTGATAAAGGTTCGAAAATTGCCAATCTAAAAATTTCCGGACCGCCCTTTCTCACGTTTTTCTTCTTCTAGTGTCTCTATCTGTTTACCTCAACTAACTTAGCGGATGGGTGCCAAGAAGACTGAAAAACAACGATTTTTTTTCGGCTGTTTTTCTTCTACCGGGTTGCAGGAAACCAGTGAAAAACAACAGAAGAGATAGACTAAAAACTAGGTCAGGATACCAAAAACTAAAAATTATTTGAATTTGGCGCCAAAAATTGCGTGCGAATTTCAGCACTTTTTTTGACTGGATTTTCTCCGGGACCCCCAAATTAAAGTCGCCGAATTTGAGTCAAAAAAGCCACCAGAACCCTCGGAAAATGGTATTTTTGAGCACAAAAATAGCCCAAAAGCTCCTCCCAGGTGGGGAACAAGGAAGAGGAAAAAAGTAACGAAAAAGAGATATTTCTCCTCCGTTGCTCTCGTTCTCTTCGATAGAGAGAGAAAGAGAGAGTGCAGGATCTGCGGAGACGCCGAGAGACATAACGCTTCTTCTCTTCCGTGGGGAAGAGAGCTGTGGGTAAACAACAACAGGAGAAGAAGCTGGCCTAGGTTTCTCGGGAGGTGGCCGAGTTTTCCTCCCTGAGCTTTTGAGCCTGTTTAGCTCAAAAGAGCCGAGAAACGATCGTCCAAAATCGTCCTTCATGTGCTTGCAAGCTTTTTTAGGTTATTTGTGGACCATTTGGGCCATGTTCAGGACAATTCTTAGAATCTTTTAGACGGAATTTAGACAGATTCTAGGCTATTTTAGTCAGAATCTAGACATCCCCAAAAAGTGATCAAAAGTGAACTTGGCGATCTCTTATCGCCCCTTATCACTTCAAAATGGGATTCAGTGTACTTTCCTACAGAAGAAGGTTGTCACAAAAGTGCCCATTGAGAAGGTCTTGTTGTGTTGAGCGAAGAACAACTGATAAGCCAAGCCAAAAGGGGAGAAACCACCGTCGAAATAATCAAATAGTGAAAGTTTGATAGTGACTAATGATCAGAAGAACAGCTCATTATCATTGAAGTGATCAGTGAACTGAGCTTCTAGAAGGTTCTGGGGATGAAAATAAGGGGGAATGGCGATTGAAAATATCCATTTTCAGGGTAAAAATAACCAATTTTTAGGGTGAAAATAGGACATTTTAAGGACAAAAATAGCCATTCTTAGGGGTAAAAGTAGTCATTTTTAAGCACGAAATAGTCACTTTTAAGTTACAATTAGGCCATTTTTAATGTCAAAAATAGTCATTTTGTAGACTAATTCAGGCCAGATACGGTTGAAACCTTCTAGAAAACATTTGAAGCTTCTAGAAGATATTTGAAGCTTCTAGACGACGTTGAAGTCTTAGAAGCCAACAGAAGTTTCAAGAGGCCATTAGAACCTTCTAGAGGACGTTTGGGCCTTCTAGAAAGCGTTAGAACCGTCTAGAAGACGTGAAAATCTTCTAATTATCTTCTTTTGGCGCCAATTTCAAAAATTGAAGCTAAAAAACCAAGAGACACACTGATAAAACAAAAAATCGAACGGCCGGCCGGCCGCACTAAACAAAAAAAAGACGTCACTCGAAGACGATCAATCGTTAGGAGACGACGCTGTGTAGTATATGATCAACGTGGACCCCTGTCGAGGACACACAAAGAGACGAATGGACGGTGCAAAGTACACTAGGCTCCGCCCACCGCCTTCTCTCTGCCCTCTATATCTCTCGCGGAGGGGAAAGGAAACACGTAAGAAAACGAGTTGAGTAGCAGAGGCAGAGGGATCACGAGGCGTTGCGTTATCAGTGATTGGGGGCGAGAGAGTGTGGTAGACGAAGAGACGCAGAGAGATTGATGGGAAGTGTGTTCGAAAACTAACTTTCATGAGGTCTCTGAACCTATCGAGACAGGACAAAGTACATGGATTACGAGCTTCCGGAATTTTAAAGTCTTTTCGAAGGTTCTAAGGGCTTCTAGAATCTTCTAACGTCTCTTAGAAGGTTACAAGGTCTCCTAGAAGCTCCCAATGCCTTCTAGACGATTTTAACGCCTTTTAGAAGGTTCCAACGTCTTATAGAAGGTTCCAATATCTTCTAGACGGCTCTAATCACTTTTAGAAGATTCCAATGTCTTCTGGAAGGTTCCATGAGCTTCCAGGCGTGATTTCAGCTTCTAGACTGTTCTAAAACATTTTGGAATCGAATTTAAGTTCAAAAATTGTCTTTGTGAAGTCCTGTGAAGGTTCCTTCCAGAAGGTTACAATGCCTTCTAGAAGGTTCAAATGTCTTCTAGAAGATGTAATACGGCTCTAGTGTCTTATGGAAGGTTCTAACGTCTTCTAGAAAGTTCTGATGTCATCTAGAAGCTTCCAACGTCTTCTTGAAAGCTCTAATGTGTTCTAGAAGGTTCTAACTTCTTTTAGAAGCTTCCAACGCCGCCTAGAATGTTCCAGATGCTTCCGGTTCCAACGTCTTCTAGGAGGTTGTAACGTCTTCTAGAAGGTTCCAACGTCATCTAGAAGCTTCCAACGTCTTCTTGAAATCTCTAATGTGTTCTAGAAGGTTCTAACTTCTTTTAGAAGCTTCCAACGCCGTCTAGAATGTTCCAGATGCTTCCGGTTCCAACGTCTTCTAGGAGGTTGTAACGTCTTCTAGAAGGTTCCAACGTCATCTAGAAGCTTCCAACGTCTTCTTGAAATCTCTAATGTGTTCTAGAAGGTTCTGACTTCTTTTAGAAGCTTCCAACGCCTTCTAGAATGTTCCAGATGCTTCCAGACGTGATTTTCGCTACTTGAAATCGTAATTTTGGCTCTGGAACATTCTAGAATCCAATTTGGGTTCGAAAACCCCATTTTTGCACCCAAAACCATCGTTTTTTGTGCCTGTTCAAAGATCAACGAACCAAACTGTCTCTGCGTCTCTCAATCTCCCCTAATCCCTCATTTATTGCCCTCTCTATTAGGGCAATAATTCCATCAAAGTGACCACTACAATTAGCACTACAAACTACAATTTCCAGAACTTCAATTTCCAGATGGTCCGCTATGAGGTATTTTTCGTACCCATGTGAATTTTTTTTCGTACCCATGTGAAATTTTTTCCTCTTTTTTTCTCTATTTTTCAGTACACTTTTGCTGTGTAAAGTGACACGGCCACGCGAAAAGGAACCTTGATTTGAAAATTAGCAACGTGCCAAATTTGAACGCGTAACGGTTCCGCGTCGCGGTTTTATCTCTGACGCTCTGTGTCTCTCCATTACGCAGTGTATTTTTCGAAAAATTAAACTTTTTTGGGTCATTGAAGTACGTGGCGCCAACTGTGTGCCATAAAGCGCGTTGTTTTGAGGTTCCTTTCCGCGAGGCCGTGAAGTGACGAATGATGCCGAAAAACAACAGGGAAAAGTTCAAAACTGGCGAAAAAAAAAAAGAAAACAAGGCGATTTTTTATCGGTTTGGAATCGATGATCACCCCGGTTTTTTTCGATAAACAACGGAAAAATAAACATTTTTGTTGCAAAAAAAACTTTTGTTCAAAAACCGTTTTCTAGCTGAAAAATTCAAATTTTAATGAGAAAATAGCGTTTTTCGTCGTAATTTACACCCTAAAAAATCGGAAAATCGCCGAAAATACGAAAAAATAAATTTAGAAAAATATTTTTTTGCGGAAAAAAATGTTTTCTAGCTAGAAATTTGGCTTTCAAGCGAACCTGAAATTTGTAAAAAATTCAAAATTACCAAAAATGTGTGAAAAATCGCCGAAAATGCGAAAATATGGTGAAAAATAGCGAAAATACCAAGAAAAATCACTGAAAATGATGAAAATTAAGAGGCGATGCAAACGCGCTCCGGTGAGAACTACAGTAACCGCCAAAAATTAATTTTTATCTGAAAAGTAAAATTTTTTCCGGCTCGTAGCCTACAAATCTATCACTTTCTCTGTGTATTCATTGTGTCATTGACCCCAACGGCGGGGTACAAAGTACAAAAAACCGCAAGAAATACACGAATTTATTGTATTTCGGGGGCAGAAAGAAGTCCACTGTATTAGAAAATTACAGAAACAAGACAGAAATTTCTAGAAAAAACCAGTGAAAAAAAAGGGAAAAAAAGTTACAGGGACCTGCCCGGAGGTCTACAGAATATTTGGGGCGAACAGAAATGCGGATAAATTGATTTATTTGGAGAGAAAATTCTAGAAATCCTCCTCTTTTGGCACTTTTTCCCACTCTTCAGAATCTGAGGCCGTGGAATTCGAGTTGGAGACGTTGAGATCGGCGAGGTCGTCGATGAGGAACGATGTATCATGATCGTTCATGAGATCCTTCTCCTCGTCCTCTTCAGGAGTCTCCTCCCCTCCAACAGCGACGTCTTCCACATCCTTCTCATCCTCCTCTCTCATAGAAAACGGCACAAAGTCCAGTGGCCGCTTCAGAATCCGATCCTCCATATGAGCAATCAGCGTCGTTTGGGGTGGAATCAGTGGTCGACGGTTGCGAATCTCAGTGATCCGTTCTTTGAGAATCGGATCCGTGACACTTTGAGAGCTCAACCCGAGCCATTGAGCCACAATATGAGCCAGCAATCGATCCGAGGACGCCGGGTAGTGCCCAATGAAGACGGCCTCCGTGTCCTGCTGATTATTCTCATCGATTCGGAAGACGTTGCGTAGCTCCTTCTCCAGGAAATCGATAAAAGCCTGTAAACGAGGGATTCAGAAGGCGTTGACGGTGATTTAGAAGCCTCTTACCCAGTTGACTTTTCTCCCGAGAAGAGCCATACGACTTTTGAAGTCGATACGGTCGAAGCAGGCGGCTCCGGAGTACGGAGAGAAGCGTCTTACTGGCTTCTTGAGTGACGTCTTCGAGGTCGGAGTAGTGGCGACGGCTCCTGACGACGTCGTCGGGGTGTCCGGAGTCTTCTGGAGCTTCGACGTCCCATTGAGAATGCGAAGTTGCTCAGTTTCTTCCTTTTCGCAGAATTGGTTCCATAGCTGAAAGAATTTCAATTGAAAAGGGTTACTGTAGTCGTGATGGGACCCGCTTATAATCGTTTTCAGGTCTTAAGACTGGCTAAAAATAGGTCAAGATTACTTTTTGGCGCTAAAACATTCTGGACTATTTTTCATGATTTTCGGATTATTTTTCATGAATTTTGGACCATTTTTCATTATTTTGGACCATTTTTCATGAATTTTGGACTATTTTTAATGAATTTTGGACTATTTTTCATGATTTTTGGACCATTTTCTATGAATTTTAGACCATTTTTCATGAATTTTGGACCATTTTTCATGATTTTTGGACCATTTTCTATGAATTTTAGACCATTTTTCATGGATTTTGGACCATTTTTCATGAATTTTGGACTATTTTTAATGAATTTTGGACTATTTTTCATGATTTTTGGACCATTTTCTATGAATTTTAGACCATTTTTCATGGATTTTGGACCATTTTTCATGGATTTTGGACCATTTTTCATGAATTTTGGACTATTTTTAATGGATTTTGGACCATTTGTAGTGCATTTTGGACTATTTTTCATGATTTTGAGCCATTTTCCATGAATCTTCGATTTTTCAGCGCCAAAAAAGCCTACCTTCATATTTTCCTTATCCGCGAACAGCTTATCGAACGCTGTGGTCGGTGGAGTGGCAATGTCCGATCCGTCCTCGCAAATGTCGTCCAAATCGGTGAACGACATCATGATGCGGGCTGAAATTTGTTTAAATATCGATTTTCAGGCATTTCAAAGTGATTTTTAGTCAATTTCAGCGCCTGTACAGCTAAAAATAGATCGAAAATTCAGTATTTTCAGGTTAAAACCAGTCAAATCGGTTGAAATTTTTTCGAAATTTGATTTAAGTCATTTTTTGACTGATTTTCATCGAATTTCGAGCATATCTAGCTGAAAAAGAGTGTCAAAATCGTATTTTTATGATAAAAAGGCGTAATTTGATGATTTGTGCCATTTTCAGCGCTAGTTTTGTGTTCAGGAAGCTTCCAGAAGAGGTTTTCTCGATGTTTCATTAATTTTTACCATGCTCCACACGTCTCCACTTCCTCATGCCCATATTTCTCTTCACATTGACGCCGTCGTTATCCACGTCATCGCCGAGCATCCGACGAGCCGTCTTTCCGCCCAGCCGCATCTTCTTCGCGGCCTTATTCTTGATTGGGTGAAGCTGCTCGACGGAGATTCGACGCGAGATTTCGTTGAGTTCTTGTCAGACTCCGAGGGAGCGTAGCTGGAAAAAAAATCAATTTCGGGGGTTTTTAGAGGCCAAAATTCGAAAAAAAAAATCGGTCAATTTTTAGGTCTTTTTGGGCATTTTCAGAGGTGAAAAATTGAAAAAAATCACAAAAAAAATCAGGAAAAATGCTCACTTGACATAGTTTTGATAGTTTTCCGAGTCCTCAATCCGGATTGGCCGGAATTCCGAGGCATTTTCCTTTCGTGGAACTCCCATGGTGCGCTTGGGTGCTTGTAGCAGAAGAAAGTTTTCTGGAAAATTCGAAGTTAGAAGTTGGAAAAGGAGAAGTTAGAGCTCCAAGAAGATAAAAATGAGCTAAGAATTCATGAAAAATGATCCAAAATCTATGAAAAATGACTAAAAATCCATGAAAAATGGCTCAAAATGCATGAAAAATGGCTTCAAAATTCATGGAAAAATAGCTCGAAATCCATGAAAAATGATCCAAAATTCAAGAAAAATAGTTTGAAATCCCTGAAAACAGCCCGAAATTCCTGAAAAACAGTCCAAAATTCATGAAAAAATGGAAAAATAAGCCAAAAAAGGGGGAAATTTGAAAGGAACAGCGCGCCAACGGTACGCCAGCCTGGATATCTAGCTAGCTTTTCACCGAAAAATCTATCTAAAAACTAGCTTTTTCGAGATCAGATGACACTTCATATGGAACACGAATCGTTTAATAGAAATGAGAGAGAAAAGAGGGGGAAAAGAAAAAGAGACATTGATTTTTCGGGCCGTTTTCACACTTCGCAAGGCTTGCAATGGAGGAAAGGAGAAACAAAAAATGAGAGAAAAGGGAAAAAGAATGAATATTGAAGCTTCTGTGATCTTCAATGAGTGGGTTTCATTGAGAAGGGAGAGAGAGAGAGTGTGAAAAATGAGGAGAATTAGAGAAGTAGAGAGATAGGCGATCAATGTGGTCAAGTATTGCACAACATTGGGTCGACAAAAAACTTATGAATCATGGGGAAATCGAATCTATTTTTTTTAGGCCTTAAAAGGAAAATATATGCGTTTTGCAATGTGTAATTTTTTCTAAAATTATTTTTTTTGACACCTATTATTGTCTATTCAATAAAACGTG